TTTCCCTTTGTTTTTGTCATTATGGTTAATTAATGGAAGATAGCGGTTCTGGCCAAAAGGCTATCCCTTATGATTTTTGAAACCCATGTACATGTTTGTATTAAATTACATTCTTTTACTGATCATATGCTTATTTAATCAAGAAATACCTGTTGACAAGTTGGGGTACAAAACTAAGTAAGTGGCTATTCTTGAGAAGATGGACATAGAAACAAGATAAATTGTAAGTTTTGCTAGGAACATATAGCACAAAAGATCCATTAACAGTGACTGAAGTTTGAACCGGCAGATGGCATAATAGTTATGTGGCTGGACTCCCAGTAGAAAACCACTGTTTGAATCCCAGACCTGGTGGCTTAAAACACACTGGGTACGTGTGTGTGTGTGTGTGTGTGTGTGTGTGTGCCCAAAATTCTGAGAGGAGAATGGAGAAGAGACTGTGGTGTGGCCATAACTTCTGGGGATTGATTCTTGCTTTCTATCTCTTTCTCTCTCCCTCTCTCTCTCTCTCTCTGTCTGTCTCTCTGGTCAGCACATGTGCCCTATACCAAAAACTCTCTTAAAAAAACAGAACAACAAAAACAGCAACAAACAATGGCTGAAGTAGAAAGACCAAGGAGGAAAGCATTGCCCAGTTGCTGGTTATAATGAATCTTACACTGCTCATAATGAAGATGGGATATCCCCACAGTGCAGTGGATAAGTACTGTGTAAAGAAAGCCAGGTCCTAAATGTCCAACCAGGGTTCGTGTAGCAGTTTGCATGCCAGGTATATGTGTGTGTACCCAGGATCCTGATGGGACAGAGACATGGAGAAAAACAATTGCATCCTGACCAAGCCACGATTGGGAGTTCTCTCTCTCTCTCTTTTTCTGTGTCTCCCTCTCCCTCTCGGTCTCTTTATCCCTCTCTTTCTCTTGAACACCTGCCCTCTGGCATTAAATAGCAACAGCAAAAAAGAATGATTAAATGACAAGAGTATATGGTGCTTTATCCTTAAGATGGCACTCTAAACTCACAGTTCTTTTATATTAAAAAGAATACAAAACAATGACTGGGATTTACCTGAACTTTCACTGAAACCTCATAAACTGAGTTTTGTTATACACAAAACACTGAGTGCGTGTATGTACTATTCTCATTTAATCTTTACAATAACTTAAAGAAAGTAGAGACAAGGATTTGCTCCATTTTGCAGTCTAGGAAAAACAGACTGAGAGGATATAAGTGTTTTCTATCAGTTACATAGGTTTTAAGTGGCAGAGCCAGGATGTAATTGACAGAATCCAGGAACTTTGCACTTAATCACTGTGCTGTATTACTTCCTTATAGTAATCCACATGTCGAAACTGCACCAACATTGCATCACCAGTTATGGAAATACCAATTTTTTTTTTTTTCTAGTTCAGGTTAAATTGTAGGGGAATAAATTTCTCTGCCCGGGAATGAGAAGTCAAAACCCAGGGACAGAAGATGTCAAGACACCAGGGATACTGCATTAGTGGGTCTCTGTTGGCTCTCCCTACCTGCTCCCTGTCCCCTCCAACTACAGCCAGGTGGCTGCCCTAGCCCTCCCTGGTCAGATGCCCCTCCTAGGGCCTCCCATCTAACCCTGGACATATGATCATATCACACTTAGCACTCCGAACTGTGTTGACTGGTTTTTATCTCTACTTTCTCACTAATCTGTGAGCATCTTTGTAACCTCTATGTTTGTTATAATGCCTGCAGCATAGACTTCTCAAGACATCTTTGCTAAATCTTTTTTTCCATATTAAACCAGACCCTTCCTTGGAGGCACTGTTTTCTTAGTTTCCTATCCTTCAGTCTCTTCTATACATAACAAATTTCCACCCCAGATAACAATTATAGGAGAGAGATAATTTGTGTGTAAGAAAGCAATTTCTATTTGAAATACTTGTATGTTTAGGTGCTACTGAGAATTGGAATGAATGCAACATTAGGCTTAAATTGTTAAGCAGTACCCATTAACTAGTATTCTCTCCCTTAGGTATTTTTAAACCTGAGAAAACTATACTGTGCTTACTATCTTTTCATATTTTCATCCAGGTGAAATATTATTAAAATGAATGCCAAGGGCAACCTGGAAAGGAAAGAGAAGCTTCAAAAAATTGAATTCTGCAAAAGAAGCACTAACAAGGAAAGGTGAGTTAATCAGCTCATTTTCCACCTCTTCTTTTCTCTTGAATGTGTATAAACTTCATGTTGTTTCTTAGCAACAACTGGTAATAATTACCTCCTTCCTTTCTGCCCTAAGTCAATACCTAGTACGCCAACACCTCCCGCACTGGTTCACTCCCCAATTATCAAAGCTGGATCCCAAGTAGTATTATCGGTTTGACAAACTTCAGGACAATTTTGGTTGTCAATAAAGCCTCTTGAAAGATGGAAGCATAGAACCTTTGACCAAATTTTAAATCAGTTTTGGGGATAGAGTTGGTAGGAGAGCTGGCATGTTCAACAGGCAGTCTTGTAAGGATTAGAACACAGGTTTGGCAGTAAAATAGACTCAGGTTAAACTCAGGCTCTACACTAGCTACTGAACTTGGACAAATATAATTTCCCTATTTACAAAACGGAAATACTACTAGGATCAACGCAATGGGCTGTTGTTGGAAATAAACAAGCAAATTCATGTAAAGCACATTGAACAATGTCTGAAAATAGTTAAGCATTTAAAACTACTAGCTATGATTATAATTATGGATTTATGTCACCAGCAAGGAGTTCAGTGAATGGCTTCACTCATTCACCACATACTATAAACATTGCCAGATGCACCGTGTTACGTCCTAGAGACACAATCGTCATTTCTTGATTTAGCAAATATGACTATATCTCTGAACAAGACTAATGCTCTAAGGGTACTATATTGTCTAGTATGGAGTTGAATTGATTAACAACTTGAAATCTTTCTTCCTCAACATTTTCAACTCTGTTTAGGGATTTCCCCATTTGGGTAAATAGTCATTATGAATAAAAAGAAATTGATCCTTAAGATTTCACTTTATTTTTAAATGTTTAACTTTTGCCATAAATCTCAGGATATTTATTTTGTCTAGCTAAGTATTAGTATTTTTTTCTTTACAAATAATGTGACATTTGAGAGGTACATGCTTTGAACACTATAATTCATGAGGCTTAATATTCTGGAATGGGAAGACATCCCAGCTCCATGAGAACAATGGACTTTTGGCCACACGAAGCAGTTAAGTGGTATGGGCTTTAGGGTCAAAGGGACCTAACTTGAAAGTTCTTCTATGTAACATCTGCAAAATCTTAAGTAATGTCTTCACTCTTCTGAGACTCAGTTTTCTTTCCTGTGAGAAGGGTTAATAATAAAATTATAAAATAAAATTTATTTATTCATTCAATAGGCTTTTTTGTTTTTGGTGAGCATTTATTATATACAAGACATTTTCTGGGTACTGAAGCAGCAAGAATCCTGGTCCTTACAATGTTTGCATTTTAATGAGATGAAATTGAGGGGAAAATTGAGATTGTTTATATGAAATAAATACTCTTTAAAAGTTAATTATGGTAGTCAACAGATAGTGTGTTGGACTCCCACATGGCTGACCACAGTTCAAGTCCAGGACATGTTGGCTTAAAACTCATACTGGAGGACCAGCAGATGGTTTAATGGTTACATCCCTGAACTCCCACATAGTCCGCTACAGTTTGAATTCCAGACCTGGTGACTTAAAACTCATGTTAGGTGCATGTGTGTGCATGCCCAAAGTCCCAAGAGGAGAATGGAGGAGAGGGGATTGCCATGTGGCCAATCCCCCTGGGGGTGATTTCTCACTTTCCATCTCTCTGTTTCTCTGGTGAGTGCACATACCCTATAGCAAAAATCTCTCTTAAAACAAAACAAACCTCATGCTGGCATGTGTATGTGTGCGTGCCCAGGATCCTGGGAGGAGAATGGATTACACCATTGCCATCTCCCTGCTGGGCGGGACGATCTCTCACTTTCCCTCATTGTCTTTATCTCTCTGGTGATTGTACACATCCTAAGGCAAAAACCTGTGAAAAAAATTAATTATGGGGCCAGGTGGTGGCACAGTGGCAGTGAACTGGACTTACATTGGGAAGGCCCTGGGTTCATGTCCTGGGACATTCCTGAGCACACTAGATATGCATGCATGCTTATGATCTGGGTTGTCTGGGACTGTGGGTAGATTGCAGTGTAAAGACCTTGTTGGGGGTGACTTTATCACTGTCTGTCTCTTTCTTAGAAGAAATAAAATTTAAAAAAATATTGTACCAATATACACAGTGCTTCTATTATTAATAAAAAGCCTAAAGAAGCATTTCACTGTGGCAGAGGATGGAGTCAAAATAAAATCTGTAGTTACATAGTGAACATATTCGGATAAAGACAAATAATGGAGAAATGAATGAATTGCTAGTGGAAAGATTTTCAAATTATCTTTATTAGAAAATTTTCTAACAGCTGTTTGGCTATACAAACATATATATATACTTTCCTAAACAAGTAAATAATAAGCAATAGTTTGGTATATCTGCATGAATTCATAATACCAAAATCATTACCAAAACATTTATTATAAAAATCAGTAAAATCATTTATCAAGTTTATAAAAGTTGTTGGGTATGTGTACATAAACATTTTCAAGCTTACTTTTATGAAAAAGAGTGCAATTTTTATCTATGTGCTTATAGTGACTTTCAAAGGTAGTTCAAAGGGGGGAAAAAGAAGGTAGCATTGCCTTGTTATATAGCATTAATTAATACTGACTTACCCTGGGACATTTATGAAAGATCCTTTGTTATCACATATGGTGAAAATATTAAACATTAATACTCTGCTTCTATGAATAAAACATAGAAAACATTTCTCAGAATGACTTGTTACCATGGAAAACTGCATTCATTCTGCAGATATTACTGGCACCCCATTTATTCACTTTAAAAATATTTATGATACTTGAAATTCAAAAGGACTCCGTCAAGATCTATTGTCCTCCCAGTACATTCACTGAATGCAGATTTAAGTGAGCACATCTCATTTTGATTATGCCCTTTATTTGAGAACTTTAAAATGACTATAATATAGTACATTTGTATTTTTAACAGGTAACAACATTAACGTGAATGATCTATGCAAAACCTGTGGCCTGTACTCCTAGTAACAGTTGTCATATGCAAAAAGAAAAAAAAAAAAAAGCCCTGAGTCAGTATTTTCGGCAAAAGTAATAAAGAAGAGTGCTCTGAAGTCATTTTATGACTTATGAAATGATTAAGACTGTCCAATATTCATTTGTCTTGTTTTCATTTTGATTGAAGAGAGAGGTATGGCTTTTATTTAGTTCATCCAATTCAGATAATTTCTTAATACTCAATTTCATTTAAGTCCTCAGAGTATCCTGATGATTGTTGAGTTATATCTTCCATTTCTGTCCAGGAAAACAAATAGACAATAATAGTTTTCTCTATTTATATCATAGAAAAAATATTTAATTTGCATTCATATAGTTTGCAACTATACTACAAAATCTGTTTTCTATTAAGCCTATATAATTGGAAAAATGATATTACCTGCACAAGGGCCTGCCTGAAATTTAACATCATCAATGGCTATGTCACTTCTTATTGACAATCCACGAATGGCTTCAAAAATGATCTGAAAAATAATAAAGTTTGAATTTAGAAATAGAATCATTCTGATAAAACAGTGCTCATCAGGGCAGATTCAGGCTTTGTATGTCTGGAGGCTTAGGCCTTTTCCTGGGGCTCCCTTTAAGGAAAAGGATACGCAATTACAAATTCAAATTTAGATTCTAAAGGAAATATTTATTTGGCATTTAAAGAAATTCACAATAAATGACTGGTGTCTTGAAGATTCAGGTCCCTTTCTTTTGAGATCTCTTTGGGTAATTTCCTAAGAATGCTGACCTAGAAATGCTTCCTAGTGGTGATCTGGCTTCCCCTCCCTACCTGGAATACTCTATTCTCAGTGTCTCCCATTGGGTCTATGAAAGTAAGGGGCCTAGTAGCTTAAATTTCCTTAGGTTTTCCATAAATCCACCTTTGATACTGGTAATTAGGTGGAAGACTTTAATATGACTGATAATACTGAAGTACAAACAGAAAAGCATAATAGTTAAATCTCTGAAGATAATGGTTCATTTCTCATGTTAAATATCATAACATTAAAAATGCAGATCAGGGACAAAAGGGAATCAGTTTCATGACTTTAGATTCTGAGAACAAAAGTAACTGATCAAATATTCTGCTTTTAGGAAAAATACATTATCAGCTCTAAGGCTGTCCCAACAATGATTAATAAATAACAATACACTAGGGAGGCTCATGGGTAATGAAAATTGTCCATAAGACACATTTGCTCTACTCATTTTATGAGCAAACAATTCCCCATTGAACTAGTTTATGATTTATATTAAATAAAAAAAAATCTCTTAAACTAATTTCACTTAAATCCCCCAAATTAAATCAAAGAATATAAATTAAATAATTAATAAGTTTATGAAATTATCTTGAAATAAATTATTCAAACTGTAAAGACAGAAATGTGGCAAAATAGTGTTAATAAAAATTCTGAGGACACAACCTGTGATGGGTAATTTTAGGTGTCAATTTATTTGGCTTAAAAATACCCAAGCGGGGAGCGGCCAGCAGATGATGTAGTGGTTATGTAGCTGGATTCCCACTGGCCAACCGCATTTTGAGTCTCGAACCCAGTGATACAAAACTCACACCAGGGACCAGCAGTTAGCATAATGGCTATGTCGCTGGACTCCCATGTAGTCGACTGCAGTTCGCGTCCCGGACCTGGTGGCTTAAACCTCACGCCGGGCATGTGTGCATGCGTGCCCAAGATCCCGAGAGGAGAATGGAGGAGAAGGGATTGCGGCATGACCATCCCCCTGGGGGGTGATTTCTCACTTTCTAGCTCTCTGTCTGTCTCTGTTTGTCTGGCAAGCACACGCGCCCTATAGCAAAAACCTCTCCAAAAAAGAACCTCACACCAGGGGTGTGTGCCCAAAATTCCAAGAGGAGAATAGAGGAGAAGAGATTGCAGTGTGGCCATCCCTGCTGGGGAGTGATTTCTCACTTTCTGTCTCTCTGTCTCAGTTTCTCCAGTGGGTATAGCAAAAATCTCTCAAAAAACAGGATACACAGGGAATGAACACTATCCAGTCCATTGAGGACCTGGATTGAACAAAGGAGCAAATTCATTCTCTGAAGCTGGGATACATATCTTTTCCTAACCTTACATTAGAACTTCAGGTTCTCTGAATTTCAGATTCCAATACTTGCCCCGCAGGGTCTACAAATACACCATTGGCTCCCCTAGTTCTCAGGCCTTCAGGCTGAGACCTAGCTACCCTATCAGATTCTCTGGTTCTCCAGTTTACAGATGGCATATCATGAGATTTTTCAACTGCCATCATCACATGAGCCAATTTCCATAATAAATCCACTCTCATTTATCTATGTATAAATCTATATCTATAATATCTCCAGCTGGTTCTATTTCTCTGGAGAACTCTGATTAATACACAACACATCTGGACTAGCAGATGGCATAATGGTTATATTGCTGGACTCCCACATAGCTCACCACTGTTCAAGTCCCAGGCCCAGCAGCTTAAAACTCATCCCAGGTGTGTGTGTGTGCATGCCCAAAATCGTGAGAGGAGAATGGAGAAGGGACTGCAGTGTGGCCATCCCCCCTGGGGGATGATTTCTCACTTTCTGTCTTTGTCTCAATTGCATCCTCCGTATAGCAAAAATCTCTCTTAAGAAAAAAAAAAATATACACACACACACACACACACACACACACACACACAACAAATAGGAGTTCAAATATAATAAATGTCAAGAAGTGGAGAAAAAAATGTTCTTACACATCTAAATAACCTTTTGGTTTTCTGAACAACAATGAAGTCTATTTTTTTGACAGCCAAGTTTGTAGTGGAAAGTATAATAGACTAATTACCTGATGGAATTACATTCTTAATAGTCTGTGGTTTGGCCAAATGATTGATTTCATGCAATCTTCTCTGAATTTCCTTAATACTTTATTAAGCACTATGTAGCATCATGTTTTCCCCCTCATAGATATGCAGTAGCATCCCTTCCTTATATCCATTGACAAAATTGAGTTGCCTTACCTTTGTATTTTTTTTTTTTTAGAGGTTTTTGTCACAGGGCATATGTGCTTGTCAGAGAGAGACAAAGACAAAGACAATGAGAGGGAAAGTGAGAAATTGCTTCCCTCCCCAGGGAGCACAGCCATGCCACAATTCTTTCTCCTCCATTCTCTTGCTGGGATCTTGGGCATGCACACACATGTGCCCAGCATGATTTTTGGGACACCAGGTCTGGGACTCAAACTGTGGTCAACAATGTGGGAGTCCAGTGACATAACTACTATGTCATCTGCTGGTCCCTTATCTTTGTACTTTTTTTTTTTTTTAAGAGATTTTTGCTCTAGGGCGCATGCGCTCACTGGAAAGACAGACAGACAGAGAGACAGAAAACGAGAAATCACCCCCCAGGGGGGATGGCCACACCGCAATCCCTTCTCCTCCATTCTCCTCTCTGGATCTTGGGCATACACGCACATGTGCCTGGTGTGAGTTTAAGCCACCAGGTCTGGGACTCAACCGTGGTCGACTACATGGGAATCCAGCGACATAGCCATTACACTAACTGCTGGACCCTTATCATTGTACTTTTGAACTTACCAAATCTATCCTGTAGTAGCTGCTGAAGTAATGTTTATTTATAGAATAAACACAATAAATGCAGAATTAAATAAGATAATACATGTCTTTGGCTACAAAACTATGTGCCAAAGCACTCAGGATACCCAAGTGCATTTATAGGGGTGCTGTGGAATACTTTGAAATTTCCAGGGAAACAGTACGATTCAATAACTAGTGGATACCATATAAATTTCTGGTTCAAGATAAAAGTTTCAACACCAGATTGACCTATATGTCTTTTAATAACATCATATCTTTATAGAGTTGGGGGTTTTGGTAGCGGTTTTAATTAAAAGCACTATGTAAAAATTAATACAGAACATTCATTGAGGGTGGTATATCAAATCCAATTCCAAGGTTTGAGAAGTTGTGTAGTACCCAATAGGTATATACATTCTACTAATAAATAATTTCAATTATTTAAGAATTAGATTTAAAAGATTATTTTTGATGAATTATTAATTAATCTAAATTAATAATTTTTTTCAAATTGCAACTAAGGACAGAATTTTTTTCAATTATTTATTTAATTTTACTTGTTCATTCATTTATTTTTAATTTGACCAGCGAGAGATACACCAGAGAGAGAGAGAGAGAGAGAGAGAGAGAGAAAGTGAGAAAGCAAGTCACCAGGTCCGGTATTCGAATTGCGGTCGGCCATGTGGGAGTGTCCAGCGCCTTAACCACCATGCCACCTGCTGGTCCCCCCGAATTTTTTTTTTTTTTTTAGAGATTTTTGCTAAAGGATGCATGTGCTTACTGGACAGATGGAGAGAGATAAAGAGACAGAAAGTGAGAAATTAGCCCCTGGGAGGATGGCCACACCACAACCCCTCTCCATTCTCCTCTCAGTATCTTGGGCACCCATATACATGCCCCTGGCTTGAGTTTTTTTTTTTTTTTAAATTATTTATGAATTATTTTATTTAACTTATTTTTTTTAATTTTAATTTGACTAGAGAGGGACAGATTGGGGGGTGGGGAGTGAGAAAGTAAGTTACCACGTCCAGAACTTGAACCATAGTCAGCTATGTGGGAGTCCAGGGCATTTAACCACCATGCCACCTGCTGGCCCTGACTGTAATGAGTTTTAAGCTCTGAGACTCAAACTGCAGTTGATTACGCGGGAGTCCAGTGATGTAACCATTTCGCCATCTGCTGGTCCCAAGGACAGAAATACTTCTTAAATTGTTTGGACCCAACTACTTAATAAATAGAACTGTTAGATAACTCTGTTGGTCTAGGGGAACCAGGAAAAAAAGAAATCACTGAGACTAAGGGAATCATGAACAAGAAAATTTGGAGACATGGCATCTTAGCTGAATATGCAACACATAGGAATTCCTAGTAAATGTTAGGTGACATAATTTGTCTAACGTTTTGCTTCATTGGCATCAAAATCTAGGAAACCAATGAGGAAAACACTGAAAATCAGAGAAGGAGGAATAATTAGGGAATCTAAAGGAAATAAAATGATTTTGTGTTTTTGATCAATAATGAGCCAGGTTCTACTCAGCACTTTAATTAATCCCTTAGAAAGGAGCATGACTGAAATTTTTGCCATTTGATGTATTTCTCCAGTAAGGGTAATCTGATTATTGGAATGTCTTTGAGAGGCCACTCACATGTTTTCCCATAAGACCAGTTTCACATGTCAGCAGTACTACCATGCTATTAAAAAACATCTACACTAGCCCATCCCCACTGATGTACACATTTACGTCTCTAGCCTACATTTTCCTCCCTAATCTATAGTCTCATATTCTACTGCTGCATGACACACCAACTTGGATTCTAACAGACAATATAAAACTTAGCATGTTCAATAAAACACCTTTTGCACATACTGCCGACTCTTGTGATCTGCTCCTACTAGTCTTCCTCATCTCCTTTGTGGGGTACATATGATGTTTTGATATTTGAATATAATATGAAATGATTAAATAAAGCTGACATGTCCATTACCTCCATTACTTATCATTTTATGCAGTGAGACATTTGAAATGCACTCTCTTATTTTGAAATGTGCAATATATTATTATTGGTTATATTCTCTCTGCTGTGCAGTAAATCTCAAAACTTATGCCTCCTGAATCTGTATAGCCTTTGACCAATAACTCCCCATTTCTCTCTCCACCCTGCCTCCCCAGACTCTGGTAACCATCATTGTACTCTCTACTTCATGAGTTCAACCTGACTTATTCCTCTTTATAACACTAAAAAACTAACAACTAAAGTAATGTTTACAAAATAATTCTTAGTAATCTTTCTAGCTTTGCTTTAGAAGGCTTTAATATGGCATTCTAAAGATAATGACCCCAAAGGAATGAGGGTATTTGAAATATCTGTGGTAGGAGGCCATCTTTAAAGATATAGCTTTGGGAACCAGTCTGATCTAGGTTTGAGTTCTCACCCAGAGAGTTCTCACTGCTTGTATATTTATATTCTCTGTGTGTAAATTAGAGCTAGAAGAAGTTGAAAGAACTCGTGTACATCTCTTAGCACTGTAAAAGAATGGCATGTAGGAGAGGGATGATCTATGCGTACATAAGTGGGTCTGCATTTTATTAGACATTGGGCTTTTTTGGAGCAACTAGTTCGGCCTGGTTTCTCTGTGGTCACTTAGGATTCCTGAGGGGGATCACTAAGTCTAGAGAAGAAGATTCATGTGTCCATCGTAAGCCAAAGGGGACAGTCTGGAGGCTTCCTTCCATACTCTGAGCTGAAAATCTTGAGGGCTATTCCACACATTTTGAACTTAGACACTCTCAAATGCCAGATGCCTCACAACTCAGTATTCACAAAACGTTTCAAAGAATCAGCTTTTCAGCAAGCCTAGTGTGTGCAAGGCCCTGTGCCCAACCCCAGGGCTTAGATGCTGAGAAGTTGACTGCTCCCCAGAACTCAAATCTTGGAGCATTTGTGCATGGGCATCACGTGGGAGTTAAAAAAATATCAGTGCTCAGGTGCCGCTTCTAAAGATTCAGATTCATTTAGTCTACCTCGAGATTCCGAGTCATTAGTATGCCTCAGAATCATTTGGAGGACTTATTAAAACAGATTTCTGAGGCCAGAAATCCCTAGATTTGTGATTTGGTAGTTTGAGATGGAACCAAAGAATTTGCATTTCTGGTGAATTTGCATTTTGGATATTGCTAGTATCTGGACCACACTTTGAGAACTATTTGAATATGCTAAAATATGAGTGCTCTAATAGCCTAACAAAATTAATCCATCATCTCAGAATGATGATCAATTATATAACTAAGTTCCTCAGCGATCCACTTTCCTTTTGTAAACAGACACTAAATCACTATCAAAGTCATTCTTGAGGCCATCTGTTATTCTTTACTGACTTTTTAGAGAGTTTATCCATGTTGAGATAATGCGACCTTCTTGGATACTGACACATCTTCCCTCTGTCATTTGTTCTTTAATTCTGCAGCATCCTGAATGGTGCTGCAACCCTGTCACCTGAGCTTCTGCACTTTCTTCCCATCTAGATCGATGGAAAATTATTTTCTGGACCAGCTGGTGGCATGGTAGTGAATGATCCCACATGGCCAACTGTTCAAGTCCTGGATCCTGTGGCTTGAAAAATACACTGAGCACAAAACCCCCACAAGGAGAAATAGAGAGGAGACTGTGGGGTGACTATCCCCCATGGGGGTGGGGGAAGTTGTGCTTCTCACTGTCTTCCTCTCTGTCTCTGTCAAGCACACAGGCCCTCTAGCAAAATAAAATAGAAAAAATAAAAAATAAAATTTTAATTATTTTTGGTTGTGGATGGTGCAAAATAGAACCCTTATTTTGGATGCCTCTTGCAAAGATTTGGGCTTAGACAGTCAGCCAAAGAAAGGTTAAAGCTGAGAAGTGCTGCTGGTCTAGGAGGTTTATCAGAAGCAAGGAGGAGGAGGAAGCTGAGTTTCTAATTAGAAGTCATGTTTGAGAATTCTACAGAGCAAGCTTATGAATAGTCAGGAATTGGAAGGTTCTCTCTCCAGAGCTTTCTGGACTCTTGGCTCAGGCTAGGCAGGTGATGTAGGTAGCTGTTAGAAGGCAGCTGGTGCTCTCTAGAATATATTGACTGTTCAGTCCTACCTATTAGAATTTTGAAAAGGTTCTTTCCTATACTGTCCAGATTCTCTTCTGATCAAGATAATCTAGGAAGGAGGTCTTTTTTCTTTTTTTTTTTTTTTAGTTTTTTCCCCCCCATAGGGCATGTGGGCTTGCCAGAGAGAGAAAGAGAGAGAGAGAGAGAGATGGTGAGAGGGAAAGTGAGAGATCACCTCCCAGGGGGATGGCCATGCCACAATCCCTTCTCCTCCATTCTCCTGGGATCTTGGGCACACAGGCACATGTGCCCAGCGTGATTTACAAGCTACCCGGTCTGGGCGTCAAACCGCAGTCAGCTATGTGGGAGTCCAGTGATGTAACTGCTATGCTATCTGCTGGTCCCAGGGTCAGGGTGTCTTTTTTAGCACATGAGAGAGGATCTAGGAGAAGATCCAGGACCTGGGACCAAGACTCACAGTTTCTTATGGTTTTACACAACAATGAGGGCAAAGGCTTTAAAAAAAAATCTTACTTTAAACCACAGACATTTTTAAAAACAGGCTTAAAACAAGAGCTAGTATATGTATGCAGATAATGATGAATAAAAGATTCAGCTGCAGCAACCAATTAGAAAATTCCATATTTAGAAGAAAAGGAGACTTTTGGAGGTTTGCAGGACACCTATAATGCACAAGACAAAAATAAATACTTTCATCATTGAACAATTAAAAAATCATTTTCTGCATGGTACCCAACGCTTTTTCTCACTGTCTAGTTTCCTATTCACTATTTAGATTTAATCAATATATAGGCTGATTATGTTTAATCTTAAATTAATCCTGCCTTTATTGATGTCCCAGAAAAGGAACAAAGTATTCTTTTTAGTAGCCACATACCCTATAGCAAAAACTTCTCAAAAAAAAAAAAAAAAAAAAGAAAAAGAAAAGAAAAGAAAAATAGAACATCAGAAGCGTATACACTTCTTTTCCAAGGCCTGATTTGTGTCTTGCTCACCTGGTGTTGCCTCTCACAGCTGTATTCAATCAGTGCTTGTAGCCAGGAAATACTCTGTTCACCTCTTCTTCTCCATAAGAGGAACTCTTCATTGTCTTTTTCCTTTTTCAAGTAAACACTCAGCAGACCAGTCCCTGCTCCATACATGTGGTAGAAAAAGCTCAAGCAGTGTTTTCTGGGAATTCCTCGCAGAGGTCTGGACAAGAGCTGTGCTTTTTGTCCATATACCATATGGGAGGCCTCAATATACATGTAGTATCCTTGAGAGGAATAGAAAAGCAGTTCTTGTTAAAAAGGATGCTAATTATATATTTTTTCATAGTTAGTGTTCCTGGAAACATTGATGATGACTTCAGTACTGAGAAAGGAGTTTGTAATTTATAATCCAAGGAGAATAAACATACTACAAAGATTAGATCTATTTTTTTAAACAATTTTTGCCATAGGGCATGTGTACTTGCTGGAGAGAGACAGAGAGAGGGAAAGTGAGAAATCACCCCCCAAGCTAATATGCTCATGCTGCAGTCCCTTCTCCATTCTCCTCTTGGTATTTTGGAACACACGCACATGCATCTGGTATGATTTTCAAGCCACCAGGTCCAGGACTCCAACTGTGGTCAGCCACGTGGGAATATAGTACCTTAACTACCACATCACCTGCTGGCCCCTTAAAATTATTTTTAATTTAACAATTTATAATTCACTTTAATATAAAGGATATAATTAACATCAGAATTTCCCTTATTAATTCATGGACAATATTCTGAAGCTTCTAGATGTGAGTTGAAAAGAAGAGAGCCTGGATTCTGTAATCAGGTACATGTGGATATAAGTCTTAGCTGATATGTGTTGTCTGTGTGATTCTGATGTAATGAATTATCATTTCTGAATCTATATTCACTATTTTAAAATAAGGGTTGATAGGGTTTGTCCCATGGCTTAGTGGTTAAGGGAGTTGGATCCTATATGACCGACTGCATGGTCCATATCCTGACCCTTCTGGCTTGAAAAATGTTGGGCACTTGTGCGTGTGTGCCCCAAATCTCAACAGGACAGAGAAACTGAGGCCCATTTATAAAAAGGCCCTGAACTCTACATTAGTAATTAATGTTTGATCATTTGATGAAAAGTTTGATCTCTTCTAGAGAAAAAAAAAAACTTGCATTTTCTAGATCTCTATTAGAAAAAAATGCTTGCAGGCAACTTTATTGCCTTGTTTGGTGTTATGTTTGTGTTTGGACTGTATGTTTCTGTGCTCCCCAAATTCATACACTGAAGCTCTAACCCCAAAGTAATAGTATTTGGAGGACCAGTCCTGTAGCCTAGTGGTTAGGGGAATCACAATAATGACTACAATTAGAATCCCTGGCAGCTGGAGCAACATGCAAAGTACATACATCTGCAAGTTCTAAGTCCAAACAGGACAGAGAAATGGAGAAGAGATTGTGGTGTGACCATGCCAAACCGTAATTAGGGGTACTTTCTCTCCCCACCCCTTTCTCTCTTTCTCTCTACTGAACACAAACACCCTCTGGCAATGAACAAATAAATAATATTTGGAGATGGAGACTTTGGAAGATAAGTATGGTTAGATGAGGTTGTGAGGATGGAGCCCTTATGATGGAGTTAGTGCCCTTATAAGAAGAGGTACCAGAGAGCTTGTTTTCTCTCTCTGCATGCACACACACTAAAGAAAGACCACATGAGGATACAGTGACATGGGGGCTGTCTGTAAGCCAGGAAGAGCGCAATATCAGGAAACAAATTAGCTGGCACCTCGATCTTGGGCTTCTCAGTTTCTATAACTGTGAGAAATAAATTTCTGCTATTTAAGCCACCTAGTCTATTTTATTTTATCATGGTACCCCAAGCAATCTAAAACAATCAGCAAAATAATCTTTAATAAAGGTCATGTTCTCTTGTTATTTTATGCAGAAATTAATGACCAAATCAAGGGATAAAAGAAAGTGATCCCAAATAACACATGCAAATGAAATGGTTTCTAGGACATCTTTCTTTATAGTTTGAAATTTAATCAGTGAATTCTAATCATTTCCCTAAATACAGTGATTGAGATGTCACAACCAAAATTGGTTGTAAGTCTCGTCTGTGCTCCTTCAAGATATTCCTTCCTTCTTTTCTCCATATTTTCATAAACACAGATCTGAGGAGTCTTACAGGCTCATTCAAATGGTGGGAGAGGGACCAGCAGATGGCGTATGGTTATGTTGTTGGACTTCTATTTAGTTGACTGTAGTTCACATCTCAGACCCGGAGACTTAAAACTCACGCCAATCATGTATGCATGTATGCCTAAGATTCTGAGAGGAGAATGGAGGAAAAGAGATGGTGGTGTGGCCATCCCCTCTGGGGATCCCCCCTGGCTTTCTGTCTCTGTCTATCTGGCAAGTGCATATGCCCTATAGCAAAAATCTTTAAAAAATAAATAAATTAAAAAAATAAAATGGAGTGAGAAAGTGTTATTAGTTCTATCAAAATGTGTGCACTGTGCAATCCCTTCTTCCTGTATTTTACTCACTGAAGTTTACACCCTGCAGAATTGAGCTATCAGAAGCAGGAGTGTGGCCTCCATTTAAATAAGCACACCCTAAGGAATGATGCTATCCCAGAGAAGTAGAATCAGGGCAGAGTTCTGTGTCTGTCACTTCAGATTGCCTGGGTTACCAAAGCCTACACTAGTCATGGACCCCTGGATGCAATAAGTAGAAAGTAGAACATCCTTCTGTTACTCTAAATAGACTACATAAATTGAAGTTTTGATCAAAAGTCAATTTTAATTTGAAAACTATTTTGTTTAAATAAGAAACTGATATCGTGGCAGCATCTTTGACCTGGCATGTCACATGTAACATCCAATCAGTTTCAACTTTTCATTTCAAAATGGCATGCTCAAGTTCATGTCTTGAGCCATTGTATTGGGATTAAGAACATGCAAACTTGATCCAATTATGGTATCAAAAGATGGGGCTTGGGAAAGAGATTAGTGATTGGGTGGTTAGGGTGGGGCTCCCATGACTGGATCTTGCTGGGTTTATAAGGAGGGGGAATGAAAGGCAGACAAGGAACACAGACCATGTTCTTTCATTATGTATCCACCATTCTCTGCACTTCTGTTGGCCCTGTAAGTAGCCTAATGAAAACTTCTTGTTTTAGACTTTCCAACCACTAGAATTGTGCATCAGATAAACCTCTATTCTTTATAAATCACCCAGTCGCAGGTATTTCTGTAAACAGTCTAAGACAGCATAGCTGCTATTTTCCCTGTGATATGCTTTAAAATGTTATGAAAAAAATTTGTCAGTGTTTGTGGTGTGCTCACCAATGATATCCTCATTACTAAATTCAATGGTCAGTGTTCAGTACTTCTCATTTTTGAATCATTGGTGGTGCTGGACAAAGTAGATCACTCCTGAGGTAGGAGACAGAGACCCTAAGAATATAGTTATGGTATATGCACAAAATCGAACTACAAAGTGGTTTAGTTTTAAGGTGGAGACATAACAGCTCAGCTGTCACTGAACTGCTTGCTCACAGAAACAACTTGCAGCAGTGACTCAATGATTAACCTAAGCAGCATGACCTAAAGCAAAAACAAGAATTAAGTTTTCTTTCCAGGCCTTACCACATTCTGAGGAGATAATGGTTTTTGTTTGATTTTGTTTTTATGGTTTTTGCCATAGGGCATGTGCATTCCACCTGAGAGACAGAAACAGTGGGAGAGAAAGTGAGAAATCACCCTCCAGGGCGGATGGCCTTGCTACAATCCCTTCTTGTCCATTCTGTTCCTGTAACTTTGGGCATGCATAAAAGCAAGAGATCTGGGACTCAAATCAGGATGGCCATGTGGGAGTCCAGCACCCTAACAACTACACCACCTGCTGGCTCCAAGAGCTTTTAGAGAAAGAGAGTCCCCTGACCTTCGCACCCACTTCAAAAAGAGAAGAAATCAAACCCATCTAACACAGGATCCCCACCGCAAGGGAAACTCATGCACAAATGCCGTCTGAGAACAAGCCTGAACAAAGCCCCTCCTAAACAAGATATGCCACCATCCCTCAGTTTTTCTCCTGCAACCCATTTTCCATGCTCTTTCTGGACTGTGATAGGTATGCTGCCATGTCAGGACCTTTGCATATGCTACTCTTGGCTCTTCCCCTAGATAATCTCAGATTGTATTCTCTTACAGCCTTAAGCCTTTGTTCAGGTGTTATCTTTTCTATTATACCTATTTTGATTTCACTGTTTCAAATCCCCCTCTCTTAGACATTTCTCATCCCTTGCACCCTAATTTTCTGTTTTCCATAGCATTTAGTTACCTCTTTGTGTGTGTGTGTGTGTGTGTGTGTGTGTGTGTGTGTGTATGTCTCCCAGTTTCCTGTAGGACATGCATACTTGCTGGAGAGAGACAAGAGAAATAGAAAAAGTGAGAAATCACCTCCCAGGGGGGATGGTAACCCCACATTTCCTCATTCTCGTCTTGGGATCCTGAGCATGTACACACATGTGCTTGGCATGCCATTCAAGCTGCTAAATCTGGGATGCAAACTACTTAGTTGGCTATGTGGGATCCAGTCATCCTAACCTCCATGCCACCTGCTGCCCCCACCTCTTAACATACTATATCATTTTCTTGTGTAATAGTTTATGTTTGTCTGTCTCTTCTAGAACACACAAAGGCAGAGATTCTTCCTTGTTTAGCTCACTGCCATGAACCTACATCCTAGAACATTGTTTGGAACATAGTACATGCTCAATATATATTTGTTGAATGAATACATGCATAAATTTTCTTCCATAGCTCTAAGCCACAAACTAGTGTGACCATTCCAGGGCACATGGTTTCACCAAGTTCACCCCCAATGTGTAACCGAGATTCTTGGCAATGAGATATTCACTTGACTAGTATGCTCCAAGGCAAAACTAGAGCAAATCCAACTTTTGATAAAAATTAAAGTCTTATCAAGGCAAATGTTCTCATACTAGATGATTCTTTAACCTCATGCTTTCACTGGTAACAAAATTGCTACACAAAAAGCACTGGGGTTTTTGCATTTTTAGTAAAAAGGAAATGAAAAGAACCTTTACTTTCTAACTTAAGCTAGACTCAATATATACAAATACAGATATACCTTTTTTTTTTTTTTTGAGATTTTTACTGTAAGTCTCATGTGCTCACTGGAGAGACAGAGAGAAAGTGAGAAATACTCCTAGGAGGGGATGGTTACACCCCAGTCCTCTT